AGACCTGACAAGCCGGATCCTTCAGCCCGGCTTTCACCCGGGGTCGCTCCATCCGTGTGCTTCTTCCAGGGAGTCCCAACTTGGGAGGAGAGGCGGGTACTTACTGGGATCCCAAACTAAAACACATCTAAGATAGAAAACAGAGGCTAAGGCAAAGAGAAAAAAGCAGCCCAGCAGAAGGAAAAACACTGTAGGGAACAAAAGAAAGTTTGCTGTAATTTCCTCACAGAAATAAGAGGTGATTCTATCCACGAAACAAGTACAGGACGCTTTAACAAAGGAGCAATCGATGGCCACAAAAGAAAGACTCTAAGATTACGCCCACATTTTTCTTTCTTTCTTTCTTTCTTTCTTTCTTTCTTTCTTTCTTTCTTTCTTTCTTTCTTTTAATTTGCGTTGGAGTCTCACTCTGTCGCCCAGACTGGAGGGCAGTGGCTGCTCCCGGCCACCGCAGCCTCGACCTGCTGGGCTCCGGCGAGCCTTCCGCCTCCGCCTTCCGAGTAGCCGGAATTACAGGCGTGCGCTACCACGCCGGGCTGAGTTTTTGATTTATTGTAGAGATGAGGTCTCGCTGCCCAGGCGGGTCTCGAACCCGCGGGCTCAGGCCATCCACTCACCTCAGCCTCCCAAAGGCACGGGATGACAGGCTGAGCCACCGAGCCCGACTCAAATTTTTCATTAACATAGCTTCCATATAAAATGGAAGATATCCTCCAGAAACTAGAACAAAAAGATAATATTACACTAGGAGAGGAAATTATGCATTCTGTCCAGGAAAGTCAATACAATAAGAGTTTGCGGAAGGAAAAAAAGAGAAAAATGTGAGGAAGAAAATTAAAGAAAAATCGTCAGACTTAAGGATATGAATTTTCCACTTAAACGGACCACCAAATATGCAACTCGACAGAGGGTGGGGAAGAAGGGAGAGATATACACAGACTCAAAGTAAAGCTTCCAGAGATACAGCTTCTGGAGACGAAGTTTCCAGAAAGAGCAAAAACAAACCAAAAATAGAATATCACAAAGAATAAGAAGAGTATTAGATTTATCAGCAGAAACACAGCGAGGTAGAAGACAATGGAGCAATGTCTTCAAAGTTCTGAGAGGAAATGATTTTCAAGCTAGAAGTTTATCAATCAAGTAACGGTACTTTCAGACAAGCAGAACTCAAAAAATCTAAACCCCATAAACTTTTCACAAAAAGCTACTGGAAGATGTATGCCAAGCTAACAAAAGAGTAATCCAAGAAAAAGAAGGACACGGAGTCCAGGGAAAAGAGATTCTGAAAGAAGAAAAAAGGCAAGAGAAATCTTCCAAATACCAGCAGGTCTAAAAAGCCACCTGTATAGTTGAGCAAAATATGAAACACTCCAGGGGAAACATTCATCGAGAAATAAAGAAGAACTGAAGTGTTTGAGCACAATGAATGTTAATGACAGGGGTGCAGCACAAATGCTGGAGCCTCTCAAAAAACAACAATATTTTGTCTGTGTAGGAGAGCAGATAGATTAAAACAAGGTGATTACCAAGGTAGAAGATAATATATCTCAATAATATCTCAAAGATGCGATATAAAGGAGATTTGGTCATCATCATGCATTACCAGCTCAGAGTAAACTTATGTACATAGTTACAATAATGTTAACACTAACCACTGACTCAACCAAAAATTATGACTTCACTGAAAGGGGTGGAAAGGGAGACTGATGTAGGAAGATGAAGCCTCTACCTTCCATAGTCAGATGTTAAGATGATGTCTGAAGCTGGTAAACCAACAATGGCAGCACACAGCCACTATTTGGACAGTGGAGGAAATGCTGGGGACCATCTGGGAGGGCCTCAGCTAAGGACAGCTGCCTATGAGGACCGGGCAAAGGGGTGGAGAGGATGGGGAGGACACTGCTGTTTGCCACTGGAAGTTTTTTGGGATTATTTGAATTTTCAAACTGTATCCACGTTCTACTTTGGTAAAAATATTTCATTTTAAAACATTCTTAGACAAGTAGCATTTTCTTCCATGATAAAATAATAACCTATAAGTTCATAGAGTATTCAATCCAGCAAGCATTTAGTGGGAGCTGCTGTCCTCCGTGCTGTGCCGAGACCCAGAGGACAAAGGCATGTCATGGCACACACCCTGAGGTCAGTACATAACCAGCACAAGGAAGCAGGAGGAGGAGGAGGAGGCAGGTCAGGGCTCCTTTAGCCAGCAGCTTTGGGAAACAGGCCTCTGTCAACTCCCACACCTCACCAATGAGGACCAGTGTAGGGGCCTTCTGAACCCATACAAAATAGGTAACACGGTTTCTGCAGTCAAGAACATTAGTAATGGCAAAAGGAGAGCTATCAACCATTCTGCTTCTATTACCTCTTCTTAGTAACAAAATAAAAGGCTTCACCGTTTTTTATTTTCTGCATAATCTGCTGGGAGCCTTTCTAAAACAAAAAATTATCAGTGTTTTCATCTGAAAGGTGCACAATGAGTAATATGCTTCAGAATTTAGTCTCTACATTTTTATTACTGCTAAAAATACACTCAAATCTGAACCTGACCTATGATTAATAAAGCTGTCAATTATATTACAATTTGGAGCACAGAGTAAGAATTCGTATTGACCTTAATGATTGGGAAGGAGAGTGAAATCAAACAGTTTAATGGAGCTGTGAGCAGGATAACCTACCTAAGCAAAACAATCTTCATGCAAATACATTTGCATGTAAGTGGCAGATATAAATACTTCTCTAGCAGCTACTGGCTCTAAGGCCTTCTTCAATTTCAGGTTCACTACATACCCTTTGCCCAGTGTGGTGGCATCCCTACAGCTGCACGTTGCCGTACCCTCTCCCACCCTCCTCTCCAACTCTGTAGAACCTTCATTCACACTTCTGGGCAGCAACCCAGTCCAGCTCTCAGTACTTCTCTTCCCACCCAGCCAGTAGGGATGGTCCTACTGGGTTAACCCTCCTTTCGTGAAAGAGATGCACCAGCTCAGAGGGCAGAGAGCTCCTAGCTCTTTCACTGTTCCAGTTGGAAGAGGAAGGAAGAGAGGTGAAGATGAGAGCGTAAAGACTGGAGGAACTGATTTATGAGATGCTGCAGGAGGCTTATGGCAAGGAAACTGGGACTTGAAGGCTGTCTGGCAAGATGGAGAAAGATAAGCGATGAATAATACTGCAGGATGGCACTGGAAATAAACATTCTACATCCACAAAAATGTGTGCAGTATATATGTATGTTTCCATTTTGGCATGTATTACCTTTTATTGAAAATTATTTGCCTTTCTCATTATACCTTCCTTGAGTAAACATCATTTTCTTGGTTTAAAAAAAAAAGTCAGTGGTTAGAGCTCAAGACTACACAATTACCCTGGTTTTATGTGACTGGAAAAGTTTTTTTGCTTTTGAGTTGGAATCTCACTCTGTTGCCCAGGCAAGAGTGCAGTGGCACACTCATGGCCACCACAGCCTCGACCTGCTGGGCTTAGGCAACCCTCTGTCTCAGCCTCCCAAGTAGCTGGAGCTATAGGCATACACCACCATGCCCAGTTAATTCTTTGATTTATTGTAGAGACAAAGTCTTGCCAAGTTGCCCAGGCTGGTCTCAAACCCCTGGACTCAGACAATCCTCTCGCCTCTGCCTCCCAAAGTGCTGTGATTACAGGTGTGAGCCACCGTGCCCAGCAGAAAAGCTTGTAATTCATATGAACAACTGAGACCAAATGTTCTAAAATTATCTTCTATTGAATAAAACAGGCTACTTAATTCAAGATATTTTAAAATGCTTTTAAAGCAAAGAAAGATAGCTTGTACTTTATAACATACAATTCTAATATTTTTTCTGTAAGCAACTAAGGCGATCTCACAATTTGGATTGATTTCTTAGAAATTACTTATCAATGATTTGTTTAAAATAAGTTCATATTAGGCAATAATGAACACAAGATTTATATTTTAAAAGTAAGACTGATAACTAAATTAACAGCAAATAGAGGAAAAATCTTAAGTTATGTCTCTTGAAAAAGTGTTAATTTCCTGAATAAGGAAAGGTCATAATGCCAACGTCACTGAGTACATGGAAGGTTCTTAGTTATTATTGATGGTCATGATTAAAGTCTAAGAATCAATGCTCAAGTTAACATATTAATTTCTCTGGGACTTGCATTTTTTTCTATTTGCAGTCCCTATCTTCCTGCCACCAAAAATATATAAAGATAAATTTTATTAAGAAATCTACATTATCTTTTCTAGCACACAGGTAAAAGCAAATTTTGTATTCCAAAATTTGCCTGGTGAAATATTTTTACAAATGTTAACAGTGATGTATAAATAAATAGGAATATTCTGAATCTGGTGAAAACAAACTTGCATGTCTTCTCTACTCTACATCACCCCTATCAAAAATAGTTCTATAAATGAGTATGACGCCTAGAAGACAAAGTGTAAAAGAAAAGCTGTGCAAATAAAGACATCTTATGTTTGAACAGGTCAAGATTCTCACAGTAGGATGAAATGTACAAATTGTTACTTACTCAGGCATGCTTTCAAAGTCAAGACTTGAATGTTAGCTAACTGTTTCTCTCTCTGTATAACCTGCTCCCCAGAAAATTGTGGAAGCAGTAAGTCAAAAGGAGAGCCTGAGAAATAGAAAAAAAATCAACATTAAAGATGCCCAAGCCAACAATTAATATTCAATAGCTATTCAATGTGTAATGTGATTTTTAAAAAGTCAATAATTCACCTCTCTTGATCTTGTGTATTAAAAGTAATAATCATTAAGCAGCAGAAAATAAGCATACTCAATTATTTTGCATTTCAAACATTGAACTGATTCTTAAATTGAGGGACTTCAGGTAGCATAGTAGAATCCTCTGCATCACATCTTCTCTACCTGCTCAGAAATCACAGATGAAATATGATGCCTGGTCTCTAAAGAAGCTCCCTGTCCCCGAATGAACCACACTGCCTGTTAGTCTCCTTGTGCAGTTCCTTCCACAGGGAATCCAGGCTAGACCCACATGCTGAATGGTCCAGGACAGCTTCTCTGTGCTTCTTTCTACCCAGAAAACTCTCAATAAACTATAGAATACGCTAAAAATTAACTCTCTTGAGACTGGGAGGAAGGGCTGGAACAGCTCGGGCTTTAAGCCTCTGTTCCCCAAAAGCAGCATGTCCTTCAAAGCTTCACCCCCTGAGTCACAAGGTCCCTGAAGTCTATCACCTGGGTAGGGCTGCCTTTTGGGCCCCTCAGCTGTGGTGCAGGCGGGGAACACACATGAAGACTCCATCCACCCCAGGCAGCTTTCCTGGAGACTAGCTCACAACGGACCCTAGGTTTCTTCTGTTGCTTGCTACCAGTCTGTACTAAACTTGCTTTGCATATTTGTGTGCGACTATGTTCTGTCACACTGGACTCAGATGAATTGGTCACCTGAACTGTAGCTTAGGAGCAAGAGGAAGGTGTGTTCCTGGTGGCTGGCAGAGAAAGGATTTTTCCTATTCCCCACACTGCAGGTAAGTCCTCTCTTGGGATCAGTAATTATTGAACCTGCTTCCCACTACAGAACAGCTAAGGTCTGGCATAAGTGATGACAAATGACTCCCAGGCTAGGACACAGAATGCCTTATGGCTTCTTAGAACAACTGCTCTAAGTCAGTGACTGTGTAAGAAGTCAGACGGTCCTGAGACCAGATTTGTGAGGAAGCCCAAGCTGCTCATGGTACAGCACACGTGGAGAGAAAAATCAGTCATCGTCCTCCCCACCATTCCACCCAGGCACCAAATACAGAGGGAGGACACTATCGTGGACATCAAGCCCCGTGGAACCTGCAAATAACTGGAGCCCTGGCTGCATGGGACCTCAAAATAGAAACATCCAGCTTAGCCCACTTGACTCACAGGACCATGAGAGATAATAATAAATAGCTGCTTTTAAGCTACATGTGGGGTAGCCTATCATTCAGCAATAGATAACCAAAACATAAAGATTGGAAAGAAAAGACAAAGATGGGCAATAAAATAGAGCAAGTGCTTCAGAGGAAATAAATGAAAATGAAAAAATATACTACAGAAAAATAATATGTACTTAATAAAAAGGAAAACACTAAAAATTTCATTTTTAGAATTGAAGGCTTACCTCTTAAATTTTACTAGGTATTATGTAAAAAAATAAACTCTGCACTCTAAATTGTAAAAATATGTTACAACAGGTTTTTAAAAAAAGGTAAATTAATGAAAGAGAACGGAGTTTGGGGAAAATAAGTTCATTAAATGTCTAATATTTCTTTTCCTTAGAACCACACGCATTAACTACACTTGCAGACAAATGTAAACATGTTTTTCTAACTAAAGGTAACACTTACTCAACTTGGCTCCTTCCATGTTTGTTTTCATCTTCCCATGAATCAAACTGAGTGCAAATGAGCCATTGATCTGATTGGCTGAATAAATCAACGTGGCTTTACATCTTCCAGTGCCATTACCTTGTAACAAGAGATAATAGCTAGAACACTCTCCTTTCACCTCAACATCTGGAACTAAACACAAACAATGACCTTATTAAGTATGTGAAAATCAGCACATAACCCTGCAGAACCACACATCTGACCCAGAGGATATAACAAAATTTCTATGTGATTTTAAAATAAGTTGTTAAAACATCTGGGGCTAATAGTTGTTCACAACTGAGAAAGCTGTTAAAGCAAAAAAACGTAACAAACGTGATATAAAACATAACCTTTTATGTTAAAACTATGTGTACTCATTCATTAACTTTTGCTGTGGCTCACTAGAGCTCCATGGTATGTTTTTTTAAAAACTACATCAACAATGCATTAACTACTATTTCCTGCTTCTATTTCTCCAAAATGCAATAAGTTGATTCCTGCAAGCACACACAACTTCATTAGCTGGAGTCAAAGTATACAGCTACACTTAGGAGTAGCTTTTTGCTTCTTGCGGTAGGCATCCATAATGTGTCTTAGAGGGAATGGAGAGCATTCATTAATCTGGCATGCAAGTTATGTGAAGGTCAGTTAAGACAGCATCTAGTACGTTTTAAAAACAAATCAAGTGAAGGTTATAGTGAAGGCTGAAGAAAAGCTAAAACTTTTGAGATTAAAAATGGAAGTAGAAATCCTTTTGCTGAAGATGGTGAATTGGACATAGCATTTATATTCACTATCTCCTGAAATTCCACTAAATGAGAATAAAGATATTTTTTAAATAGCATAAATCTACAAGCACTAATATCTCAGGGAAGAGGCAACGGCACCTAAAATTGGGAGGTGTATGAACAATTGGTAACAAACTTCAGTCTCTCAACTGCTAAGGAAGGTGAGAAAAACAGCAGAGAAAGTCCAGCAGCAACACAATTCATACTAGAAGCATCCTCACGAGCACCAGGATGGGGGCCCAGGCAGCACTGGAAGCAAAATGAAGCTGGAAGAGGAAGGTGGGTTGAAAGCTGGAGAGGCAGTTGACCTCCTGACCCCTTTCTTATTCTATTCAGGCAAATGGCCGTCAAAGACGAGTGGCGGATTCTCTGGAGAGAGTAAAACCAAGCGTTTTGGACCTGAGAGACATAAGACACAGTTGAGGGCTGTGCTCTAAACTAAGGAGCAATAAATCCAAGTGCATACCTATATATGGAACACCGAGGCCCCTGACCTTTCCCCTCCTGCATAACTCCCAGGACTCTGGAAGCCAGACAGCGGAACTGAGCCTTCTTCTGGAAATGTGGCCATCCTGGAAGAAAGACTAAACAACGCTACACGGAATGGTTACCCAAGGCAATACAGCATCCCAGGCTGAGCACCCTAAAATGCGTACCACATTCAGTAAGATTTACCCCGTGCCAAGTCTCCCAATCAGCTTTCTGATGCTCACTAGTAAGTGTAAGCAGACAGCCAAAAGTTATAGGATCTCAAGGAAAGTCTCTAGTATGAAAACCAGAGGTTAAAATAAACAAACAGAAAAAGGCAGCATGTAGGGAAACAAAGAAAAGACCGTACACAGAAATCTTAAAAACAAATTACAAAAATAAAAACAAACACCAACACACCAGATCACTGAAATCCTCAGAAAAGATATTGCATCCATTAAATAAGAGCAGGAAATTATAAGAACATTCAAATAAGAAAAGCTCATGGATATGAACATTTAACAGAAGAGTACTGCTAACTCTAAGTGCTATTCTGTACAGCAGAGCTCTAGGACTTACTCATCTTGCATAACTGAAACTGTGTACCCTTTGACTAAGACCTCCCCAGCTCACTCTCCCACAAGCCCCTTTCAACTACTGCCCTACTCTCCTTCTATGAATTTAACTATTTTAGATATTAAAGAAGGCAGGAGGAGACCTGGTAATGGTATGTTTATGGCACAAGTTGTGGTGGTTGCACAGATGTACACTTATCTCCAGACTCATCAAGCTGTAAATATTATGTACGTATAGCTTTTTGTCAACCACACCTCAATAAAGTGGCTTAAAAAAATAAAGACCTCATGGAAATTGAGAAAGCAGAAATACATACTCCAGCTAAAGGATTAGAAGATACTTCTCAGTAAATCTACCAGAAAGTAAAAAGACAAAAATGGAAAACATGAGAGAAAGCAAGGGACAGAGAGACACTAAACCAGGAGGAACCACCCCCGAACAAGGTCGCCACTGATGCCACAGGCAGGCTCTGGAAGACAAGACACAGACACTCTTACAATGCTCAAGGGACTGCGAGGCAGGACACCTGGGTCCACCAACTGAATGCTGATGTCAGGAAGCAGGGATAAGCCAGCGTGAAGGCAGAGTCAGCGGTACTGAGGACCAAACTAGTAAGGGCACCACAAGCATTTCCACTGTTCAACTTCACGGCCCCAACAGCTGCGGTACTTGGTACACGGTGAGTGTTCAGTGCATGTTGGCTAATTCATGAAACGGACGATTATCGAGACAGCCGCACAGTGTGAGGAGTTTGAGGAATAGTGATAGAAGGACAACGACCCGGAAGGGAGCGCATAATGCTCCAGAGCCGGAAAGGGCTGCAAACCACAAAGGACCACAGGAGCTCCCTCTGGCCCAGCCCAGGGGCGCTGACAGCAGGGCTCAGCGGCTCTTCCCTGGCACCACACACGAGTCTCCTGGAAGGTCCTCCCTCCTTGACATTCCTCTTGACCTCTTCCACTCTGCTCTTGCCTTTCAATCTGGTTGGCAGGCCCCTTGCACCCACATGTGTCTCAAGACAGTGGCCTCACCTCATTTCCTCCCTAGACAGTCACCCTGGCTTCCAACTCTCTGAGTGGGCTAAAGGCAGTTAAAATTATTCCTTTTTAAATATCAACCTGCAAGCTCCAAACCTGCTAGACATGGGACATGAGAAAACCAAACAGCCACAAGCCACTTTCCTGTGAGTACAAGACAGCAATCATTCACAGCCTTACCCTTGCATCCTCTCTTTGTGAAGTTATCAGTTTACAACCCGTTTGTCATGTATATCCTGAAAACTATTTGTTCTGTGAAAATCTGGTTTTGCTAAATATAACTTTGCAAATTCCAAAGAAAAACATATAGCTGTACAACTCGACCACCTCCCTTACCTAAACTAACATATAAAACCCTTTCCTCTTTCTCTGGGTTGCTCAGCCTTGGAGCATTAGCCCGCTGAGTTGCGCTGGTGCGAATAAAATGCTACTTTCTAAGATAGCCTTGGTGTCACGGTCTCTCTGGTTTCCCACAACATCTGTGCCAACCCAAAGCAATACATTAGGTTAGTGGAAGTTACCTCTTAAAAAAGTGTCTGTGTCTATTTCCCCTAGGTTTATTTTAAGTGCTGTCCAGATGGCAGGTGAGAAGGTCTGTGGACCCACCCCTCAGCAAGAGGCGCAACTGGTGAAACTGTCCTAAGGAATACACCCACTGAAGAAACACTGATTCAGGAAAACATACGAAGACTAGGTTAAAACTATGGGTCTGCAGCACTTGAGCCACGGTGGGCTTCTTCCCAGCCCACTCCCAATTCAGGTATAGGCAACGCCAATCAAGGCTGGCATGGCCAAGAAGATGGGTCTCCCTCCTCCCTCCACTCCCAGTCAAGGTTACAGTGTGCATGCGAAGAGCAGGCTGCTTTCTCAACCTCTCTATTCTGAGCTGAAGAGGCCAAGTCCTGATGAGTGTAATGAAGAGTTCAGGGACTGCCCTCTTCCATCCAGCCCCAACTCACAGAAAGAGTTCTCCCCAGGAGAGGCAATTTGGAAAAAAGGGGACCCACCTGCCCTCACCCCAGCTCACTCACAGGGCAGAGGGTCTACGCTGGGAGAGACACACAAGTAAGACCAGAAGCACCACTCTGGCCCAGTGACCAAACCAGTGGCTCAGAGATTTTGCCCAGGGGAAGACACATTACGAACAGAGAGAGCCCAGAAGCTCTTCTCAAACAGACTGACTTTACCTGAAACGAGAATGTGGGAAAGCTTAAACCTAAAAGTGGTCTCAAAAACAATGGTGATTTGGTAATAAGCAAACAAAAGGAGGCTAGGTCACTTAAGAGCAACAAAGACAGGGAGAGCCAGGTGAGACAGCTAAGAACCATCATCCTGGTGTCAGAACCCAGTCTCACAACTACCCCAATTTAACTGGACCAGTAATTTAAACAGACATGGAGCAACTTAAGCACAAGGACACAGTCAAAAATGAATACGGAAACGAGCTGGCAATTGGTGCAGTCTAACAGTTGAGTGTGACACCAGGTGAGGCAGACAAGGAAGAGACCAGGGAGAGTCAAGACAGTCCTGCAAAAGCCACTGTATCTCAGGCTGTTATTCCCACTGGACCCCCAGCTGTATTCACACTGCATTGCCAGGCTGTGTCCCCAGGCTGTTATCCCCGGCCTTATTCCCACTACGTCCCCACTGCATTCTCGCTGCATCCCAGGCGGTATTCCCACTGCATCCCCACTGTCTTCCCAGCTGTCTTCCCACCGTGTCCCCAGGCTGTATTCTCACACACTAAAATGCTGCAAACCCCAGGACTACAAACCCTAGAACTGACGCTTCATATGCTTAGTTAAAAAAGGCTTAGTTAAAAAAGCCCAGTCAACCCACAAAACAAACAAACGTGCAAACAACAACAAAAACAGAACAAAAGGGGGAGAATAATCATTAACCAATAGCCACAATATATCACCTGAAAATTCATTTTCATAAAAAAATTATGAGCCATACAAAGAAACAGAAAGGTATGACATACAGGGGAAAAAACAAGTGGCAGAAAATGCCAAGGAAAGGGCCCAGAAGTCAGACCACAGCAGACAGACTTCAAAGCAAGCATCATCAATATGCTTGGAAAACTAAGGGCAGTGTGCTTAAGGAATAAAAGAGAGGTATGGCCGGGCTCAGTGGCTCAGCCTGTAATCCCAGCACTCTGGGAGGCAGAGGTGAGTGGACTGCCTGAGCTCGTGGGTTCGAGACCAGCCAGGGCAGCTTGGCGAGACCTGTCTCTACAATAAATCAAAAAATTAGCCAGGCATGGTAGCGTGCACCTGTA